CAGTCTAATCACAATAAAATTCTATTAAATATTAAAATATTACTATAATTAACATTTAAATATTTAAAATATATTAAATGATGTTCTCTATCGAAATGTTCGATTTACATTAGAACATCATAGTAATATTTTAATATTTAATAGAATTTTATTGTGATTAGACTGGCAAGATTTAAACAAATATATATTTATCACAATATGACGCAACTTTATCATCTCATATTTTACAATGTTTATCTCTGAGTGTATGTGGCGATGGTGTTATATATTTTTTGGGCATTGTCCATCGTCTGTTGAATGTTTTAAAAAAGTCTTGAAAAATCACACCGTTTCGAAGGCTGGATCTTCCTTCGTCTTTAGATAGGAGAGTCAGAGACTCCGTTGTATTCGATATACCTAGCTCCACCCTATCCACAGGTCCACACATCGGGCATAGTATTGTTTACCAGATCTAACAGAGGACGTGTCTGCCTGAAGACGAAGGGAAATCTGTCCTTGGAAACGTGATTTTTCAAGATCTTTAAAGACATTCGACAGACGATCGATCTAAGTCCATAACAAAGAAAGTAAGAGGCCTTTAATCTTCCTTCTTTGTACCCCCTTTCAGAGATTTGCTCGCTTTCTCTATCTGATGCATGCGTGTTTGTCTTGCTTCAAGCACGTGTAATTGCTGTCCGCGGACGCATCGCACAAGTGTGTCAGCTCGTTGCATCACAGCTACCGCTCGTCCTTACGTAACCTCAATGAATACCTCGTACACTCACGCACGGTGCGTGAACCTTGCCGTTGGCAGTGAGTATGAAGGTGTGGGGTTGCTTCTGTCTAGCCAGAGAGTCGGTTCAAAGGGGCAAGATGCGTTTGTCATATGTCAGAAATACCTTTCTTGGGTGCACTCGTTCCCGCTAAAGAAATTCTGGTAACCAACTTACAGTATCAGTACTAAATCTCATGTGTAGAAAATATCACTGGCGATGTTTAATGAGTACACTTGGTCTGGAAGAAATGTTAGTATCCAATCAAAGTTCAACGAATCACGGCAGTTTGGTTGCTGGGGGCGAACTTCACAACCTAATCCAGGTGTAATTTCCATACAGAAATTTGTAACTTTTTCTGGCGTAGAGGAAAATAATTACTATGCTGTACTGCCTGGAGATCTTCGTAGACGCAGAGGAATTTTTAATGTTGAATTATTAAATTTCTATAATTAAGACAATGTACACTCTTCATTTCCTCAGACACGCTGAACAAAGCGATTGAAAATACCTGTTTAAGTCTATTCGGTCTTAAACGTGGCAAAGGCAGGCGAATGTGTGCTTCAGTTGATATGTTGTCACGTCACTGGAGAATTTAAACCGAAGTTATAAAAGCACCGACGAATGATTTAAACCTGCCGACGCTAATCATCACCGAGTAGAAGGAACCCTCAGTAAAAATAGCAGGGGATTTGTTATATGTAACCGAAGACTGAATTTTATAAGATAGGTCCTTGTTGCCTCCATCCTCAGGGCGATGAGTCATCGGCCAAATGATGGAGGTAACAAAGACCTCTGAAACGTCAGTAAACTTCTACCAGACTACACGGCGCAGACAGCCATCTTCGGACTCACCATTGCGCATTGTGTACTGCACAGTCAATATCAATGTGTTAATAGATTAACACTTCCTGAATTACACAACAAAATATGACGAGCGTGTTGATGGAATTGTCATGAAAATGGCATGAACAGACTGGCACATTTCATAATTGGTAAAGCAAACCACACGAGGCGAATTCGTCCACCTAACAACAGACATAGCCGCTGCTGCATTGCTGTGAACTTCATGCTTTATTGTTCGCTTTGCAGATTGCACTCCCGTTATTCAATCCACTGGCCTTTAACGTCATTGAAACTCGGTTTTGTATTGCAACGAGTTTGCAAGAGATCGCCACTGGACCGTGTCCCGAGTGACGTTAACAAGCTCGGAAAATATGTTCGTCCCGAATGCACATAATACCCTCATGCGTTCATGCATTTGTATTATTATATGTATAGTAATATATATTCATGTATTATATTAAGTGCGCCTTGTTCGGTAGTTTCCACTGTGGCCACCAGATAGCAGGATCTCAGTGTCTACCTCACGAAATTCCCCATCTGTCATTTTGCCATCACAGTTCGTAGGATGTTCAGCAATACGATTTTGAGGAACCAGAATGACAAAACTTCCATATCGAATTTCGTCCAAATCCGTCCAGCGGTTCTAGAGTTGAATCGACTGGAGAGACAGACAGACACGACCATCCCATAAGACGCTCCCGCTATGCATTTCGTGCAGAGAAGGCATCCATTTGCGTAAAAGATACGTTTTCATGTTCTGTATTGGATTCAAATATTCTTCTCTCTATCCTCAGTCTATGGCCCATGTAGCAGTTAAAATTGTCTTTTTAGCGCTGTTTAGGCTGAAAGTTCGTATTTTAGACGGGAACTGTAGCAGGTGGCAGCGGAATCTAATTATGAATTTGATTTTGAGCGAATTTTTAAACTTTGCCATTTTTCGAAAGACTTACATGCGCACACTGTAATTATTACCCTGCATTTTGGTAATGACGCATATGAATTTACTTAGTTTACGACTGGAAGAACGACCTATGTAACATCCAATAGAACTTCTCTGCTTTGGTTCATGCTATTTATGTTTTAGTCTCGTAAATTAATACTTCAACCCCAGATCATGGGCTGGAATGTCCTGTAAGTCCCAAAGCGAAGCTAAGAAAAGAATGGAGATAAAGCATGTATTTTCCTCAGACCGTCCTTTATAGGGAGTGTATGAGACAACTCGTCGAAGGAGTCCTACCGAATGTCTATAGATCGAGTCAACGAAAAGTTGGGATCCGCAGTGCTCAGGCACTTGGAGATCGGGTCGGTCCCTGTATCCCAGTATGAGACAAATGATTTGCATGTACGGAATTTACTACAGGTTTAATCAAATTAGCATTTATAGTTTTGTGTTTGCATCGAATTGATTGAGAATTCTGTGCAGTGCTTCTCTCGCTACTGGATCGTATGGTTTCGTAATGTATATGAACACAAGACGTGAGAAGACTCAGAATCTCTAATCGATGCCAGTAAGGAGCTTTGTCTAGAGGAAAACAGAGAAAACTAAGTGAATGTCCATGTCTCGTCACCAGAATGCAGGTCAAAATCGTAACGTAATGATACTTAATGAATTATTTGAAAATGTGGCAAATTTCATAAGTTTTCAAGTGACAGTAACAAATCTAAATTTTATTCATGAGGAAATTAAGAGCTGATTAACTTTTGGTAATGCTTGCTACTATTCTCTTTAGAACCTTTTGTATTATCGTCTGCTGACGAAAAATAAAGATTAAAATACACAAAACTACAATTATGGGTGTGAAACTTGGTCTCTGAAATTAACTGAGGAACGTAACCTGAGGTTGTTTGAAAACAGGGTGCTAAGAGATGTATTTTTACAAACTTTACTATTATAATTCACTGGAACGTGCAACATTCCATGCCGGTTTCCTCATCGTGGAGCTCGAGGTTCGTGCCCAGATCAGTCCACGTCGGATTTGTGGTGGACAAAGTGACACTGAAATAGGTTTCTCTCAGAGTCCGTCGGTTTTTCCGTTCATTATCATTCCACCCTTTCTACACAATCCCAGCAATCTCTGATATTGACAGAGGGCCAGTTAGCGACCTCTTCTGCTTGAAATAAAGCCGTGATTCTGTCGCCAAATCTTGACATTCGATGGAAGTTTACGTCAGGTTGTTCTGTGATCGAACTCTGTCTGTCTGAGAAGGGAGGACGAGGTCAGCCATCAGTGCACACTCGAGCAAGACAGCGGCGTGGCTGTGTTTTGTCCGTATCGGGATTCCGACAGCGCTCCTAAGTCATCTGCAACCCAGTCTCCAGCGATCTCCAAAGAAAATGTACATGGGACTGAACTAATTGAACGAAGGACGTCAAACCTCGCAAGGAGCAGATTCAGCACTCGTGGTGAAACGAAGTTGAGATTTGGTGTCGCCTGTAGGCAGGCCGGGAGCCAACGAGGCGCCTTGTCACACTTTCTTACAGGATTTTGTTTTTGTAAAAGACGTGCAAGTTCGCCGAATGTTCCTGATGCGTGTGAAATGGCCCCAACTTTTCTAGCACGTCATCATCTACGTTTAATGCTATTTTTATTTTTTTTCATAATTTGGGAGAATCCAGTGGTCGATAAAGCTTATGTAATGATGCTGGATTATGGACGGTTTTATATACATTAATGACATTTGTAATTAGCGAAGAATAAAATATTTCGCAGAATGAAGAGACAATAAGAGATCAATATTTCAAATAAACTATCGCACCCGGCCTCGAACCCGTGTTAAAGAGTGTGGTCCGCGTTGTACCGGCGTTGTGCTAACTTTCTTTATGCTGATTTGTTCTCAAAGTCTTCATATGGCAGTAACACAATTTTCCTCCTTCATATTGACATTGGTTCAGTTGTCGGATCCTCGGGTTATTTCCCGCGGGTCAACTAGCGTTGGGTTTTATCAATCGCCATCAGCAGTGGCGATGTTTTCGCTTTCCGACGACGGTTATAAGACGTACACTTAGACGTCCACGTTCTCTAACCGATCAAAAAACTGCTCATAATATGAAATGTATAGAATTAATAACAAGTATTTAGCACACAAAAGCCGCGGTTTATAATTACAACTACACCTATTTTTCTAGTACGATTAAGACAAGCGCAGATTGTGTTGTTCCGTCGTAGAAAACCGACAGCCCTAACTGTCCAATGTAGTCGAAATTAATATTTTATCTGCCATGTTTAATTCCATAGACATGTTTGATGAAAATTCGTTCAGAATGTTCAAGCAGCTGAAGTGATTTCCAGTGTTAATTACCAGAACGAAAAAAGTAAATATAAATATATTTAAGAATCACGGGGAGTGACCAGGAGCGCATTCTACCAGAAATGAAAACTTTGCGTCCCAAAGGACACTTACATCTCGGGCGGATTCTCCTGTGCGTCGAAGATCGCGTTTCCTTGAAGAATTGGTTGACGAAGACCGACGGCTGCCTCTGGATGCGGAAACTGCTTTGAGCACTTCGCCAAGACGCCTGCTGCGCCGCGGACGTCGTTCCATTATTGACGGCGCTGTATTTGCCCGTTACTACCCCGAACAAACTGAACCAGTCTTTCATGGTCACACAGCACAGAGTATCGATGACTTATGTCAAATTGAAGCCAATCGTACGGCACGAGATCCCAAGACTGAATAAACAATGTCTTGCTGTTGTCTGCTAGATACGTTTTCTGTACGTTGATCAGCGAATCAACCAATCAGAAATTTGTCTCCCACTCCAGAGGGCTTGCCCCCTCCCACTCATGCCTTTCTCCACCGGAGCTGAAGGAATTCCCTGGCTAGCTGTGGTCAGTACCGCGAGGTCACTCTCTTCGGGGGTCCATCGTCTTCACCATGCTTCTTCCAAGTCCCATATCGTGCTCGTTGTCTTCACTGAAGCCACAATCGACTTTCACCTGGCCTTCCCTTAACACTGTGCGTAAGCATTTCTTTATCAGTTTGAAGTGGGCTACTCGTAAGACGCAGAGGGGCTGTGAAGTTGAAGCGTTAGATACTCTTGACTTCAGCTATAGGAAATAAGTTATCAGCTTTACGCTGAGGCCGCTTTATCCCCAGGGAAACAGCCTCTCCCTTACCCAGTACCCATTGGATAGGAGGCTACATGGACCTCGCAGCCGACGTGGACGCGGTAGCAAACAGAATTCCTGCCGGGGATTGAACCCATGTCTCACAGCTTATATCCAAAGACTGAGCTATCCCGGGCAAGACAGTTGAGTGACTATGTACATATTGTGCTTAAGTACAGATAGTAATTTCAATGAAAATCTTAATGCTTAAGTAGTAAATTACTAAATAAGATCCGTCAAGAGTTAATATTTACATAACATGTTTTCTAGTAAATATGCATTACGTAATTCGACATTTCACCATCAACTGTGTGTCGAACTCTCAGGGACCCACGGTACGGGGACTGGCACCCCAGAGGTACCCGAGCTACCCAGTGCTTGGGGGTAGAGTTTAACCACCCTACGTTTGTGGTCTGTAAATACGGAGGTCTGGTCCTCCAATTTGGGGGTTGGGAGTGCGGATGACAACCCCACCCTGTAAAAAGCAACTTGTTACGAAATGAAATGGACTCATTGACGGCGAACTGAGGAAGAATGGAAGAATCTTTTGAAGGCGGCCAGGGCTCACACAGGGCTGTAGAGCCAATGACGATTATGAAGTAGAGTGTGTTGAAGACATATTAAATATCAAGTTTTAAACTTTAATTACATTGTAAAGTAAAAAGTAAAGCGGCCCCACTATACGCCATCTAGGCGCTTGGAGGGGAGAGGCGGTATAGCCCCTACTCATTCTGAACCTCGGCACTAGATGGGGTGAGTGGTCAGCGTCACGCCCCATCAGCACTGGACTTCTTCTGCATTACGGATATTCACAAATATGTACAAATAGAAAGGGAAGGGGTGTTAAAAGTCGAATCCACAATAAGAAATCGGTGGAAACAAAGTATAGAATAACGGAGTTGAGGTGTAATAAATTCTTTGACTTAGTTTGTTTTAACACGGATAAATACATTCTTAAAATTATGTTTGACACTGTCCATCTTCTAAATTTTAAAATAAAGTTACATAGTCTCGAAAGCTGGATTTTACCTCCTTCTTCAGATAAGAAAGGGGACTATGAGAATAAACCTGTCTGTTTAGGTCCCAGGTTGTGGTAACCTGGCGTCTGAGGCATGTCACCGGTATAATGGAAGGAGAATCCAGCGTCCGAAACGTCGTAATTGTATTATTTTATCAATTAGACAACGGAAAAATTCTGTGAGAACAATTTTGTAGACTATAACGGAGCATCGCCGTAAAACTTTACACTTTATAGACATATGTTCCAGTACACTAACTATTACATTTTTGTATGAAGCCGTGTGTGGGGGTGCTTTTATGGCGTACGTAAAAGACAATGCCCCATGATTGGGATGCAAGTATTGTCTCTGCTTACCGCAACGTACACGGCCCGTGCGTTAAGAAATAATTATCTAGGGTATTGGAATACGAAAATTTTGTTTGCGTTGCAGTTTATGGAACATCCACTGTGACCTCTAATTGGCCATATGAGTGTCCGGAACTTAAACCATGTTGAGCTTGCATTGCATCATGCATGTCTGTTGCTGTTATGTATTGTAGGCGCTCCTTAAACCGGGTTTTGGAAGGTCTTCTTATTTAAAAGGAGGGACAAATACGAGAAACATCTAATCAAGAACATTTCTTCTACCAGGAACTGGATTTGACGTCGGACGGCAGAACTAGTCAGCGCGAAACAAAGCAACAGACGGGCCACCAGCAACACATTGCTATTACAGTTCGCGACTGTAATCTTGAGACTTGCAAGGAATGCAGGAAGCCCGAAGCGTTAAAGGCTGACGCTATATTTCCTCCTTCACCCCACTTCCTCACCCCCCGCTAGTCTCAAGATTACAGTCGCGAACTATACCTGTCATCCAGCGAAAATTCCCATCGGCGCGCGAGATACATAGGACCAGTTCTGTTTCGCAGCTGCCCTTGAGGATGAGATCAGAGCTGGCTCTCGAAACTTTGGCGGAAGAAATGGTTCATTCACCTGACACGGCTTGTAACCCGAGAGTCTTTCATGAACTTCGGTCACCGTGAAAACTTCACTTTATATGTCTGTTTGTTCAACACATTTTAATGGACACTTTCTTCTTTGTTTATATATTCCGTTGCTAATGCATTTACTGTGCTGTGTTTCGTTGTCTTATTTGGTTCCTAAACTAGTTTCAAAGTTTGCATGTTTAAAGAATTTCCTAATCGCTCTGGTTTCGTTACCTATAGCCCAGTTTTTCTGCATTGTCTGTATTAATTAGTTGCCTTCCGTCTTCATTGGTTGTTGTATGATGTTTCGGAATATGTGTTTATTATTGATTGGTACTGAGAATTTCTGTGGTGACTCTGAACTCGTTCTGATTTCCTGTCCGTGATACAGAATAAGTTTTCGTTCTATGATTCGATAGTTTACAGCAATATATTGTACGTCGAATGGGTGACAGGAGTTGTAGGCGATTACATCGGTAGTGATTATTTTTAAAATGAATATTAAACATCGTATTTCCATTGATTTCTTGACAGCAAAACCTAAGGAGATTATTGTGTTGCTCACTTATTTTTCTAATTTAAATTATAGTTGTGGATGATTTGAATTGAATTAAGTTAACGTATTCTTTGTTTGAGACATTTAAAAGTTCAGTATTATTAATAATATATGATATACGTTTCGCCAACATCTCCTATTATTATATTTATTCAGAAGTGTTTGGGTGTGAATACGTTGTAACCACTGAATAAATGTATCAGAGTATGAAAATGGTAGATGTGGGGGTTCCCATGACCAAGGCGCTGATTGGTTACGTGGTATTTGCATGAAATGAACGCACATGGGGTTAGTCAAGTCTGTTTTTCCGCATGATTCAGTTCGAGAACGTTTCTTGGGATTTAAATTAAATTTGATATTGGCGTTATGCCATCGGGGAGTACCCTAGTGTCAGTTTCATCCAATCGGTAATTCCAGCATGGGAAACGAACGATTTTGTGAGGTGGGGTCGACACTAGCGCCACTGTTTTGATTTGTCAGTTAGGTCTACCAAGAGTAATTCAAAATTGCTGCTGTAAGATTTGAGGTTTTCACAGCGGTGAGTATGAAGATTTCTGTCTTCTGGGTTGTTGCGCTGTGTAGTCTGGTCGATGTTTACCAACGTTTCAGAGGTCATACTGCCTCCATCATCAGGGCGATGAGTATGAAGATTTCTGTCTTCTGGGTTGTTGCGCCGTGTAGTCTGGTCGATGTTTGTCTTCTGGGTTGTTGCGCTGTGTAGTCTGGTCGATGTTAACCAACGTTTCTGAGGTCATACAGTCTCCGTCATCAGGGCGATGAATAACATCGACCAGACTACACTGCGCAACAACCCAGAAGACAGAAATCTTCATACTCATCGCCCTGATGATGGAGGCAGTATGACCTCTAAAACGTTGGTTAACATCGACCAGTCTACACTGCGCAACAACCCAGAAGACAGAAATCTTCAAAAGTGTTATTGCTGGCAAATTATTTTATTTTCTAGTTATATTCAGTTCCTGGTAAAAGTATTAGTGTGTTATATTCGTCTCCTTTGTTGTGATTGTTGACTTTACTTTATTTATGTTCTTGATTAGATGTTTCTCATATTTGCCCCTCTTTTTAAACATGCAAGTTTCTTCTCAGTTCAGATGTTTATTATTTACTTTCTTAATTAGATTGCCTATGGTATGTCCTGTTGCAATTTTGTTAGGTTAGGTTTTTAGCGATTTCTGCTTCTGTAGCTAACATCTTATTCGTGTCTCAGATTGTGTTTCATGTTTTTGCAGAATTGTTAGTGAAGTTTTTGCTCTTTCTTGAAATTCTGTAGGTTTGTTTGCCGTTCGGTGTAGGACGTCCTTTCGGATACTGGGACCGCGTGTTCGAATCCTACTCGAGGCATAGATATTTGTCCTAGTTTTACTGAGTTGTGCTGTCTTGTGCAGGCAGATACCTTGCGAGGGGCTGATCACCCCATCAAGGAGTCCCGCCAAATTTCTAAACTGATCCACAATTTTAAAATTAATACTGAATTGGAACAGGACACGACCTGATTCTTGAGAGTTGGTGTTCTAATTGTGATTATTGTTAGCTTCAATAATAATCAATATACCTTTTTCATTAGTTTCCATTCAGTAACTGTGATGGTAGTAGTCTTCTGTTTAACACCTTTTTATGTACAGGAACTTCACTTTATTTTTATTCGTATACTTTGAACTTGTTTGCATATGCGTTTTGCAGCTTGTGAGTTCTTCCTTATTTTAATATATGTATGGCATGGAGTTAATTTTTGTTCAAGGCATGTTATATTAAAGCTGATATTGGCGTTACTATTTAGATATTTTTATTTAACGTTCGATTACTGGTTTGTGCTATAAGCATGACTTGCGTTAAGAATCTTAAATGGTAGTGCGTTGTTACGTGTGTACTAAATTTTTACACCGTCAACCGAAGAAATCCGCTTTATATTTTTGAACATCATCACCATCTGTGGCTCTACAACCCAGTGTGGGTCTTGGCCTCCTCTTTTGGAGATTACTTTATCTATGTAAGACATTTGAAAGGACACAGGA